GTTCTAAATTACAATAGTTTTTTCCGCATCTAAAGCAGTACCTGATTGTGAGATAGGCATTGTGAGAAAGCACGTGGGTCTGAATTAATGCAGTTTGACTTTGCAAGGTAGTCTTTCCTAATTTCTTATTTAGTGGAATAGAACATTGATGAGGAGAAATTCTAGGATTCTTATATCTATTTATCACAAGTTGCTTTATTTTTTGCGCTGCAACCTGTAGAATTCTAGAAGATCTAAAATATTTTGAATATGTTCTAAAACTGGAATAAGTCTTATCTTCTCTGAATATTAGAACTCTGGAATTCTGATAAGTGAATATACCAAGTTCTAAATCGTTCTTCTATTTATAGTATATTTGACTACTTGGGTTTCTAATCAGTTTTCTAAACTTGATTAAAGCTTTGTGAAGCAGTTCTAATTTCAATATCTGTCTCTCACACAGTCTTATATAATTTTCTAAACTTTATGAGGGAGTTCTAATTACAATAGTTTTCCATCATAAAGCAGTTCTGATATTGAATAAGGCATTGTGAAGCAGTTCTAATTAATAGTTGACTTTGCATAGTCTTTCTATTTTATTTATGAATAGAACATTGTGAGGAAATTCTAATTCTTTATCTATTCTCACAAGTTCTTTATTTTTCTGCTGCACTTAGAATTCTATATTTTGATTTTAAAATCTAAAATTAATTTTGAAAATCCAATTCACCCCCCCTCTTGGGTTGTGCCATACATATACAGGACCCACACTTTCTCCTCCTCCTAGGCCGGTTTCTTGAACAAACAGCCATAACTTCAAAGGTTTGGGGGTTCCTCTCTCGTTCATCTTCTAGAAGGTTGTTAATCATAAGTTGATTTAGCCAATAGAACCTAGGCCTCTACTAAACTTAGTCCCAAAATCCTTCAACCTAAATGCCTTTTGTGTTTTCCACCAAGGGGCTGGGCATAAAACTGATGAGTGCAAGACCCTACGGCACAAGATTCAAGATTTGGTGGAAAGTGGCCAAATACTCCCTATTCGACCTAGACCGAACATAAATACTAACCCTCTCCCTCACCATCAAAACAATATTCACATGCTTCGCCAAGAGCTAGATACTAACTTGGCCTCTTTTATCTACCCCATCATTGATAACTCATATTACGTCATCGACCTAAATGACATACTTGAGGAAATTAATGCCATTACCTGGAGCGGGAGACAAAATCCATCTCCTCCTCCTGAAGCTCTGCCTAACCTTATCTCCCTGTCCAAAGATACCCCAAGCTCAAGTTCTGGCCCCTAGCTCGGGAACCTTATTCTAGAAGAATTGAAGAACACAAAGGCCAATATTTCCATATGGGGTTTCATTCAATCATCTCTTGTGCACCTCTAGGTTTTGGTGAAGGCCATGAACAAGTGCCAAACCTCTACAGACATAACCCATAAAGCATCGGTGGCCTCTATCATAAGAATACCCCTTGCCATAGCCATCCACTTTGCTGATCATGAAATACCAAAGGGGGGTGCTGCACATAACCATTCTCTCTACATGACAGTCCAAGCCAGAGGTAAAACAGTACCTATGGTTATGGTAGATAATGGTTCAGCCCTGAATATCTACCCTCTGAAAGTTGCTAGTTGCTTGGGGTTAACTGTTGAAGACTTTATGCATCCGATTAGATTGTGAGGGTATATGATAACACAAGAAGAGAAGTTATGGGAGTGACTGATCTAGAAGTCACAATCAGGCCCGCAATCATGACCATTCCCTTTCAAGTAATAGATGTTCCTGCCTGCTTTAATCTCCTTCTTGTAAGGGCATGGATCCATACAGCTAAGGCAGTAGCCTCCTCTCTACACAAAAAATTGAAGTTCCCCTATGACAATGCAATGATAACAATCAAAGGGGACTAGCTGGGAAATTTAAAATTCCTGCCTTAACCCCACTTCTGAAAATCCAACCTAAACCAACAGTCTATCCTCTGTCTGGCTTCTCCTTTGATTCAGTCCAATTTATTCAAGCAAAGCCTGGTAAAGAGATCTTTCCTATGGATTTTGACCCTTATAGTAATCCCTTGGTGGCTAACATTATGAGAGTTATATGCTACTTTCTAGGGATGGGACTTGGCCGAGACTAGCAAGGTATGGCCTCTTTCATTGAATATCCAATTGCTGAACCTCCTTTCGATCTTGGATTCAAGCCAACGAATGAAGATCGAAAGAAGCTAGAAGAAGCCAAACAAGTGGCTAGGATAAGAGGTGAAAAAAGGGACATTCCAATGTGCCCATACTTTAAAACCATGAACGGTTATTTTGTTTTAGAGAGTAGGAATCTGAACCCTATTACTTTTTTTTTAAGAAACTTGGTATTGCCCCCAGATTAAGAAACTAATACCTGGTTTTGAAATTCTTTTTGATGTCAGGCTCTCAGTAGAAGATCGAGAGCCTCTTTTTAAGCTTTAGATTGGGAAGACAACATGGAGGCCTCTCTCTTTGAACTATGCATGGTAACCAACCGAGTGGAAGCAGACCCCACAACCCTCATTCAACCCATCCAAGCACTCCTTCAGAATTGGTACCTGGAAGAGAGCATAGAGTAATTCACTATCCTCGAGCCTGAACCTGAGTCTGAGCCATAAACAGAATTTGAGTCAGAGTCTAGTTCAGAATCTTTTGAGTCTTCCAAGTATTCTTTGTTTTCTCTTTCTGAGCTGAATGTAGATGCCAATCATGACACTTTTATTTCTAATGAAAAATTTCAGTTTTCTTATTACCCTCTCTCTAATCTGAATGAGATTGCTGGCAAAATAGAAAAAGAAAAAGAAAAAGAAATAAAAATAACAAAAGGGCAAATAAATATTGGCACAAAAAATGAACCAAAACATAGATTTGTTGTGCATGAATGTGATAGTAAACATGAGTTGATAGAGCTCACTAAGCAATATTCAGATTGCTTTGCATGGGCATCCATTGATATGATCAATATAATCCTGACATTACAGTTCATAAGATCCCTACATATGACCACATCAAGCTAGTAAAGTAGAAACTCCGAAGACAGAAACTAGATATCTCTCTTAGAATTAAAGAAGAGAAACAACCAAGATATTGAAAAACAACTTCATAAAGGCCATTGACTACCCTACCTGGTTGGCCAACATAGTGCCAGTTCCCAAGAAAGATGGCAAGATTAAAAGTTGTATCGATTACCGAGATTTGAATACGGCGTGTTCCAAAGATGACTTCCCATTGCCTCACATCGACTTACTTGTTGACAGAAAGGCAGGATGATCGATTATTCTTATTTTTCAAATATTAAAAAAATATAGTTCATTATAAACAATAACAATATAATCTATGTTTGTATTTTTGGAGGTTGGCTTTATCCTTTTTTTCCTTTTTTTTTTTTTTGAATTGTTTGAGTTTTCTTTCTTTGCAAATTTAGGTGACTTTTATTATTTTCCAAAATTTCTTTGCTTCAATCTTTTCCTTAAGTTTTATGGCAATAGAATCGAAAAGCAAAGGGGAAAAAAAAAGGCTAAATTATAAGTTTCCTATTGGAGCTCAGTGGGAACCTTACACAAGGATAGAGAAATTATGTCCAGGGATTTTGGGATTTTGGGGTTTTGATTCTATGATCGTTAGAAGGGGAGGAGAATAAATGTGTTCCAAATTAACGGTGCATTTTGTCTTCAGGTTTGGAATTGAGTTAGTTAAACCTTGTGTCAGTTTATGGCACACATATTTGTATTGTTTATTATTTTTTAGACTATGATTTTAAATTAGGATATAAATCTTTCAAATTGGGGTGTCCTGGGGGTTAAGGTCAAAATAGGGTTCAATTGATATTATCTGCAAAGTTTAAGGTATTTTAAATGAATTACTCAAAAATATATTGATTTAATTATTTTTCCTAATAACTTTTATTTTTTATTGATATTTTAAAGTGTCAATTATTATAATTTATGCCTTTAATTTTCTTTTATTTGATTAATTGTTCTACTTTTGTAATATATTGTACATAAAAAAAATCATGGATATGTAAAACGTGTACTCATGCAATGCACGTTCGTAAAAACTAGTTTATTTAATGTAGTAAATAATATTTATCTAATAATTTTATTTTAATATCCACTTAATATTTGATTGGTCACTGAAAGAAATTATTTAATTTAACTAACCAACAATTTAATTGGCGAATTAAATAACTAAGTTAATGATTAAATTAACTTAATAAAATTTAAGTGTCTATATTGAGCTTACGTAGATTTGTATCAACTAATACTAAAAGAATAGTAATAATCAATTTGATATTTCAACAATGTGGGATTTTTTATAAAAACTCTAGAACTCCGGATAAGTCTCATTTATAAAATTTTTAGGTCCATTTCCATTTATTTTTTAGCCCAATTCTAGACCACTTTTGGTTTTGGGCCAGGTCAACGGATCCAATTGCGAACAATTTTATAGTGAGAACATTGTAGAAAGTTGGATATTGTTTTGATGTTCCTATATATACCAATATTGGAATTTATGTTCGCTTCCACAAATTGTAAAGACATTCTATTTAATATCTACATGCATGTTAACAAAATTCAAACTTCTTTAGTAGGTAAGTTTGGTAAGGCACACATGCATAAACCAATTATTTGGAAACTAAATGTAACATTTTTGGTAACCTTTATTAAGTAAAGGGGAAGGTAAGTTGTAAGTTGACAAATTTTGTTGAATAAATCCTCTTAGGCCCACTCATCAAACTTGCCAATTACTTTGTATCTTACCGTTTCTTGAAAAATGACCATGCAATAATTCGAATCAAGATTTTCTTCTATTTTTGGAAGATTGAAAATTAATGGCTCTCTCTATAAATATTAAATTATCTCTCACTTCTATACATATCCATCTAGTTAACTATTTCACTACATATTACCCCATAATCTAGTTGAGACTATTTGACTCCATATCATCCCATATGATGTCACAATGGAGCTTCTACAGAGAGTTTGAAGACGAAAAAATGAAAAGAAATGTGGAAGAAGAAGAAGAACCCATCGAAGAATTTAATGGTCAAAAAGCTGATCCTTTGCTTGATCTTAGGCTTTCGTCAACTAATGATGTTGAGGTTGATTCCAAACTAGAGCTCAACTTATTGGGTGTTCTTGGCAATAAGGAGTCTCCAAAGATACCAGAGTCTGAAACTGAAAGGAATAATAATAAAGAAGGAGGAAAACGCAACTTCGTTTGCAAATATTGCCATAAGAAGTTCAACAACTCTCAGGCATTAGGTGGCCACCAAAATGCCCATAAAAGGGAACGAGCATTGCAGAAAAAAGAGAAAGGACTTGATTTGTTAGTCCCTTATGGACTAGTAATCGATGCTCATCCTTCACTGTACCCATATCCAAGTGGTCATCATGGTGCTTTTGGCAGACCTCTCGGTATTAAAATGCACTCTATGATTCATAAACCACCACCATATCACTACTATGACAGCTACTGGGCTAATATGGAAATGAATCGTAGCCCTCCATTTTTGGGTAGACTAATTGAAGGTTCTTCACTTGCAGCTGCTAATAGGATTGGAAGCCAACCCTATGATCTTCCAGGGCATTATGACTTGTCCCTCAACCTCTAATTGTATTTCCTTTTTATCATTTGAAAAATAATGTTGGTCATTACTTAGTTTCTATTTAAGAAAACACACCTTATACTTTTGTACTGAATTAATTCTTATGATATTTTGTTGTACAATTAATTAATAAGTTTTCTTCAAGTTAAAGTTACAATTATATATATATATATAAAGCCCAATCGAATCAAATCTTTAATTAGACGATATCAGTTTTTGATAAAAAAATTTTTTTTCTCTGTTAAAGATATAATTTGTTTTGGAATATTCCAATTTTAGAATATTAAATTTGATATATGGATTTTTTTAAATTGATATATGGAATATGATGTCTTAATATTTAAATATAACTAAATATAAATGGACCAGGACAATAAATCTTGTTTTTTTTTATCTTCCTCTTCCTTTTTTTTTTTTTTTTTTCTCTCTATGAGTGAGTTCAATGAATATCCACCACCATTATCACTACTATGACAGCTACTGGGTCTAGATATGGAAATGAATCGTAAAGGCCCTGCATGTTTTGGGTAGACTAATTGGAAGGTTGCTTCACTTGTGTCATGCTGCCTTAGATGAGGATGGAAGCCAACCCTATGAAATCTTCCAAGGGGCATTATGGACTTGTCGCCTCAAGCGCTCCTAAGTTTGTATTTCCTTTTTTTATCATTTGAAAAAATAGATGTTTTTGGTCATTACTTTAGTAGTTTGTGCGTATTGTATATGAACACACCTTATATTCGCTTTTTGGTAACTGAATATGTCTTAATGTTAGTTGTTGTTGTATCAATTAATTAATAAGTTTTTCCTTCAAAAGTTAATAGTTAGCAATTTAATAGTATATTATTACTAAAGGGCCGGCAATCGAATCAAATCTTTAATTAAGACGATATGCCGAGTTGTTTGGTGATAAAAGTAAATTTTTGTTTCTCTGTTCAAAGAGTAATATAGGTTTGGTGTTTTTGGATATTCCCAATTTGAGAGTATTAATGTTTGAATAATATAGTATGGAAGTGGTTATATATTTTAATTTGATATAGTGAGAGTATGAAATGTGCCTGTAATCCATTTAAATATGGATGACTAAAGTTAGTAGGAATTGGGACGCAGGGACAATGAAATACTTTGTTTTTTTTTTAATTCTTCGCTCTGTGTGCCTTTTTTGTTTTTTTTTTTAACTTACAGTGGGTTTAAAGTAAGAGGTTGTAGGTGTGAGTCATGGAATTTATAATTCCTCGCTACATAATTAGATACACTTCATAGAGTGAATTTTTTTTTTTTTTTTTTACTTACAGTTTTAAATAGATTAGGTGGACATGATTTAATCCTAGCTACATATTAGACAACTTCATAAGGAATTCATCATTATTTGCAAAATTGCCATTGGGCAATTGCCTATTTTTCTCTTCTTTTCTTTTCTTTTCATTTTCATTTTCATTTTTCTGTCTTCCTCTCTCTGTGGCCAAACACTTCTCCATCTCTTCCTCTCTTATTTTTTTCAATTTTTCTTAAGAAAACACCTAAACTAAATCAAACAAATTAAACCCAAGCTATTATATATACTACAAAAAAAAACGCCATTTTGCGACCGACCAATCGGTCGCAAAATCGCTTGTCGCAAAGATTTTTGCGACTGATGATTTCATCGGTCGCAAATTAGCGACTGATAAAATCGATCGCAAAATTGAATGATCGGTCGCAAATTTTGGTCCTGTTTCATTATTTGGAAACTTTGTCGCAAATTGGTCGCAGAAAAATCTGTCGTAATTTTAAAAGTCGGTCGCAAATTGTAAATTTAAAATTTTAATTTTTGGTAGCAAATCGGTCGCAAAATTAAAAAAAATAAAAAAAATTAAATATTATTATATTAAAAAAAAAGATAAAAAGTAATTATAAATATGTATTATGAAGACCGATGAAATTTTTTTCACACCTGTGAAAATTGTACTGATATATTACATTATATCTATCACGACACAGAGCAGAGTTCAAGAACAATATAAAATGAAATGTATTTTTGTGATGGTGAACTGAACAACAATATTCAAAATAAAATGAAAACTAAAAAAGGTCCAAAATCAAATCTTATGCTGCTTGGCCGCTGTGCATTTGATTGTTGTTTGTTTGTGTTGCTGGTTGTGTGGGTTTTTGTTCGAGCATGTATCGGGTTCCCGAGTTGTCGGATCCGCCGGAGAGTGGTATGGTGGCGGGAAGGGCGTGTTGCCTGGTAGTGCCCGAGGTAGGGGGTGACCACATGTGTAATCGGTATCTGGCATGCATTTTCTGGGAATTCAAGTGGGCCGGTAGTGGTCGTGCTGCTGGAGGTTGGTAACGGTTCGAACATTGTTTCGATCGGGTGTTATGCACGGCGCCAGGGATCAAAGGAAGAATATGCCTGTTCAAGCACCGGGCTCACCGGTACAGCTCGCCATCACGGTGCGTCATTTTAAGGCGCGCGGTTGTCGTGGCAGATCTGTACTCTGCTGGTTTTTTCGATGTTGTGTGTAGTTGTTCAGTTGAGCCCCATAGATTCCAGTAGTAAGTGGTGCCTTCGTTGCAGGTTTGTGCTCGGGGCCTGTGGGTCCTTTGGCAATCTGGCTAGTGGAAGCGTGAAGCTGCTGTGAGACCAAATTAAAACTGTGATGCCTAGAGATACGATGTCCGGTAATAACCTTCCTCTTCTTCTCGGCCCACACCCTACATTGTAGCCTCGAGATAGAAGTGCTACGCTCGTCAATTTCCTTGACTCAGTCTTCAGATTCCAATGGCAGTCTGAGAAGAAAAACAAGAACGCTCCGAGCTGTAAGTAATAAAAAAAAAATAGTTCTCTCTGAAAATATAAAAAATTATTAATCAATAGCAATTGCAAGCTTTATTAAAATTGAAACTTTGTACATCTTCGCAATGAGTAGAGGGTAAATGTAAATATTATTTCATTGTTACTTACATTGACGCTCAGGCGACGGCATTTCTGTCAACAAACCGTATTATGATCGTGGTCCTTCGTAGGTGAGTGTGTATGTTAGGAAAACAAACCTCAATGCGGGTTTGGGCTCACGACCCTAATTGTTTTTAGCCTGTAATGTGGGGTTGAATTTTTTATGCATGATATAATTAATATATATAGTGTCCCTTTCATTAAACATCAGCTTTCCATATAAAAGGACTAGTTCCCCCTTACTAATAATCGATGCTGTTCTCTAATAGCAAAAGAATTATTTTGCGGATATCGCAACTAGTGTGGTCGAGAAGGGTCCTGCTCAACAGGTCACCGCGCAGTGGCTCGACTGTGCCTGTTTTTTGTGCAAAAATTTCCTCCACCCCGCTTTCCTTCTTGGAATGCAAGGATACCGCCCAATGGCCTTGTTGCCGCAGCTCTCATCGTTTTCTCTTGAATGTAGGATCCTCCCAAGCCTTTTGCCAGCTCTCCCATATCTCTTGAGACACGCACTGCTGCTTCTTATCGCTTCTTCTCATCCTGTAGGTGAAGCCAGCATATCGATCAGCGCATAACTTCTCCTAGGCCACTTTCGACATACTCGTAATTGCCTCATCCTATATGAAATGCTTCTGCAAAAAATGAAAAATAGCATTTCAATACTAAGGAGATATCTTGATGAATTGTAAACATTGAATGATGATACAACATAAACCAAAGCGTACCTGAAACTCCTCCTAATAAAAGTCTCTCGCCTCTTGTGGTACGGCATCTCATGTGTATCCTTCTTTATATAGTTGTAGCTTGCTTATCCTCATAATTTGCCTCGATGCTCGAGACTCCTCGAGAAGATGGATATATGCTGAAAAAAAAAACAGAAGTGAAATATAATTAGACGAAAGCATCACAATTCGAACAAAATATGCCTTTGGAAAAATTGAATGAGTACTTACTGTCCCGCTACCAAACTGAGATCTGATGAAGCTGCAAAAGAAGTGACAAATGCTATAAATGCAGATAATTAATATATAATTGAAATTATATAATTGAAATGATAGTAATGGCATTTATGATTACCTTGCACAATAGGTGACTGTGTAGTTGGTGGAGTCTGTACTGGTCTAGAAACGGGGGTAGAAGAGGAAGGAGCAGAAGGATGTGATGGCAGCAGTACTGGTCACTGAGCAGAGGATGAAGCCTCAGACGTACCTGAAGAAGGATGTGATGGCGGCAGTACTGGTCGCTGAGCAGAGGATGAAGCCCCATACGTACCTGAAGAAGAAGGAGGGATCGACCCTCCCGTCCACAGGCACTGCGTCCTGGGCCACAACCTCCACGCGAACCACTGCCGGACGCAAACCTCACTCTACCATCTTACTCGCACCCCCCAACTAAATAAAATAGATCTATTTTTTACATTATAGAATTTATAGAACATGTAAAATATGCTAAAAGAAAATTAATACCATTAAATTCTCATTAATAATATTTAATTAGAATAAACATTTACAATTTGTAACAGTCAACTGGCTCTAAGTTTTAGTTGTCTCACATTATCATCTTACTTCACTCCCACTTTCATCAGCTTCCTCTCTTCATATCATCTTCTACGTACCCATGATTATTTGATCTCTTCCTCTTCATCATTCCGATTGCTCCTATTTCAACATTAAAGATCGCACTTCATCATCCAATCTATCTGTTAACTTCAACAACTTGCATCGTGCGTATCAATCTAACTTCTTGAAATCGGCTCGATTACTGCGAAAGGAAGCCAGATGTTGTTTCAAGTGCTATGAATACAATACTATCTAGCCTTGTTTTACACACTTCCCATCCAATCGCAACGATCTCGTCAGTAAATGATGAGTATGAGCCACTAGACACCTTGTGTCAGCTTAACATGCCAACACATAAAGGTGTTACGTGTATATCTTCTTCTTGAATTAATATCTACCAGATTATACTTAGATGAACCTTCGTGCCAATCGTTTGCGTAGGATCAAACCTTCACAATCGAATAAGATGTGCACTCATTGGTAGCCTGATATTCTAACTCCAAAACCTCAACCATTTCACCATAAAATCGTTTCGACATGACACTGTAGTTTGATCCCTTATGCAAAACACCGTTGTTAATGTCTTTCTGCTA